AGTCATTTTACTTCTTTTAAAATAATTTCAAGTCATCTTAAGTTCCCTATGCAAGTTTACTGAGGCCCCCTGGTTGAGAACCACTTCTCTAAAACAATTTCAAATAGTGGTCGGCCGATATTTGGCATTTTTCAAATAACGGCATCGACCGATAAGTTTTCCTGTTTGGCCGATGCGTTCGAGCCGGAACTTTTATTTTGACGGCGGGAGGGATTCTCCCTCTTGTTCGCCATCGTCGTTAACAGTTCTGTCTAATATGGATAGAAGTCTGTCTAATAATCAGATAGAACAATAGAAACAAAGGAATTAAAATGTATACAAAGTATTATATTATTAGTAATAGAAAGGCAAACATTATAATACTTTCTCGTTTGCCGTCAGCATTCAGCAAATACGCATTTATATCATTTAAACAAATCTTTGAATGAATAATGAACATTTAATTTCACAAACCTTGCAGACTTAGTCGAATCCAGCTGTGAGATCGTGTGAAGTGTGCATTTGTATCCTGCATGATCGTGTGTTCTCTGCATTATGGTCGGTCCGTGTGATTTGAAAGCTGACAGGAGGAGAGTTCAGCTTCACTGAAGACGCGCGATCGTAAACTCGTGATTTCAAATTATGCTGCGCTTTATGCATTTGCCCACTGTCATATTCATGTCATTTTGTATGTATTTTGTATGTGTTTGTATTTGTATTTGTGCTGCATGTAAAATTAGTGTTACCTTGGCTTTATTTGAAAAAATATGATTCCCATTGAATGCACACAAACTTCCCAGAATACTGAGTGCCCTGTTGGTTACAGTATTTAGGCTACTTCCTTTTTAATTATATTTTTATTAAATATTTATTTGTGAAAAATACTTTGTCATCTAAACTATAAGTATGTTTATTTTACACATTTATTCTTTAATCCATTTTCAAATGATTTCAAATTTCTTGAATATTAATTAAAATAAATACAATTATATCGGCTTTATATTGGCCACCCTGCTTTCCAAGATATCGGTATCGGCTGTCAAAAAACACATATCGGTCACGCACTAATTTCAAACCAGCCATTCCATTGAATTGCATCACAACAATGGCTGGCTTTTAAATAGATCAAAGTGTGTATGATGTTTCTGCCTCGGCATTGCACAACCCCAAAGTCAATCCCCATGTCCTTCAGTCCTCCCTCAGCTGGGTGAAGTCCAGCTATACGCCACATTTAGTGAATCTGAAGGCTGGAGGATCAGATGAAACCAGTTTACATTAGACTATACTGATATGCTAATCTCCCTATGACACTAAAGCCGAGCATGTTCTAAGACTTTACTCCAACCTTTATCCATTAAAGGTGCAGTAGGAGATCTTGGAAAATGCTAACTTTAGCCTTATAGCACTGAAAGCGAACAGCCCACCCTCCCTGCAATCGCCTTCCAAAGCCACGCCCCCTGAACGCATATACGCTCACAGACCAGAATACCAGAGACAACATTACTACAATAGGCTACATCAGCGGTTCCTAATTCCAGCCCATGTTCCGAAGTGAAGTAAACTTAAATGGATTTCCCCTGCTCAGGGAGTAGGAAGCAATGAACACTGTGTAGGGGATCATATCGATCGGAACACAGTTCATGCACGTAGCTCACTTCTAACAAGCTGGATTGATGTATTGACAGCGAACGTCCCACCCTTCCTGCAATCGCCGTCCAAAGCCACGCCCCCTGAATGCATATACGCTCACTCACAGACCAGAGTACCAGAGACAACATTACTACAATAGGCTACATCAGCGGTTCCCAATTCCAGCCCATGTTACGAAGTGAGGTAAACTTCAACGGATTTCCCCTGCTCAGGGAGTAGGGAGCAATGAACTCTGTGTAGGGATCATATCGATTGGAACACAGTTCATGCACGTAGCTCACTTCTAACAAGCTGGTTATCTGAATCGGGTGCGTTAACTAAGCGAGACATGCAAAATATGCAGAGCAGGGGGCGCGAGGACTGGAATTGGGAATCACTGGGCTACATCATGTGTCATTCACCGGTGAGAAAACTTTAAAAGAAGTTCTACAATACCAGAAAGGAAGATCGGGTTGTTGATGTTTGTCTGCCATTCTCGCTCTGTCTGCACAGCGCGCGTGAACGCGCTAGTGACATATCCTGTCTGCGCGAACCGGGTGCGCAAAGGTATGCAAATACATACGTTGACAGGCAGGTAGGAAAGCGAATTAAAACGCTCGGACCGAGCGTTTTGATTGGACGAACATTTCTTGGTCCTACACCTTCCACAGAATATATAAATACAGATAAATACATTTGGACCACTTAACTTAATGATTGCTATCGGGATGTGAAGAGACTTTCCACCAGCATAACAAAAAATGTTTCTGAAGACAATCACCTATTGCACCTTTAAGCCCATCGCAATCTATATAGTGTGTGAACACAGTGTGAATTTAATACATTAACACAGTGGTTCTCAAAGTGTGGGACGCGCACCCCATCAGCAGAAAAAGAAAAGAAATAAAACAGTAAACAGCCAAAGGACGTAACTTAGAATGGGAGGTGGATCTTTTTGTGAAAGGGAAGAGAAAAGCCATAGATGAAGTCGCACAGATACAGGCAGGTGCTGGCCATTTAAAAGCTAAATGCAGAAAATATGACGAGGCATATCTTGCTCTCGGCTTCACTCACCGTGTCTATACACTACAGTTGTCGCGTCGCGCCGCAA